TTAGTCGATAATTATCAACTCCACGTTCAATATATTAATTTTTTAGTATCTAAACGAAGTTTTGTTTTGCGTGTGTTTACATTTCCCAAATCTCCTGTAGGGATGAAAGCTGTATTGTTTGTGATGCTTATAAGTAGACTGAAAGCGAGAGCATCGCTCTTCTTCATTTATATAGGTTTCACAAAGAAATTTTGTGAATGTAAAGAGCAGAATCAACACATAATCCCACTTGCCAATACATAGTAAAATTATATTTATATGTGTAAGTATGTAAATATATGTTCGTACTTTTGTAGTGATAATTTGAGCGCGGGAAAATTATTGTGAGCAGCTTGCGAACCTGTATAGCATGTATTCTCTAACTTTACTTTTGTAATTTGCTCAATTCAAAGTTCTTTTTAGTCATCATCGGTTTGCCGGTCGCCATTCATCCTGACTCCTTAGTTTCTATTGCAAGTCGGCACCATAGTACGGCAGCCAGGATTTTTGTCACTGCGACGCCAGACAGCCACTGTCTTTGGCGCGCTGTTATTGTCATAATAGTGATTCTAATTTCACAAATAAAGATTCGGTTGATTGGTTTGGCGAATCTCAGTATATCCGAAATTTGTGCCACAATTTATTAGACCAATTTTTTTATAACCCTTAAGCCTTGACTAAAGTATAAATAATTGGAGCTTTGTAACCGCTGAAGCGATGTCGAGCTCCTTCTTCAATTCGTGGTTTGGCGTCTGGATGTTTTACCACAAAATGGAAGGACTTACAGTTTATACTAAGCCGCCTCCGAACGGCTGATGGTTATTTCGTCATGTCCGAAATACACTCGGAGGGGTGGACATTCCCTGCCGAGAGGCGACGACAATTAGAAACGCAATTAGAAAATTTGACTTAATTTTTATTTAAAAATATTTTCAATACCTTTTGGATGTTATTGGCACGGGGATCTGAACCTAAGCCTTCCGAACGGCAGTACGCAATGCTAACCTCTCGGCTGCCGCGACTGACTAAAGTGACATTATTATTAATGCATAGTGATATAACTTGCATAGTTTCCTAATGTTCTGTTAGAGTCAGAAAGCATTTGTACCGAATATAACAAAAATAGCTAAATTTTAAACATCTGACTTCCTGCATTGTGGTGCTATTTTTATCATCCTATATTTATTAGGTTTTATGATAGTTACGTTTATGATTAGCCAGAACAGCTTTCTGAGTTTCGTGCCAAGGGCCTTACGTTTTATAAAACTATTTATGAATGTTGATCTAGCCAGGATTCTAACTCTGGCAACGCCAAACATTCGGCTTTTCGTCGGCTTTTAAATCTTTTTCAACAGGACGTCGTTCGAAATTTTTTTTTTGTTTCATCAAATGCAGAGTATTTTTTCTCTACAAGTATATGAACTTGTTTTATTATGTTGAGACTTGGTCTAAATCCAAACTGATGACGTATAGCGGGAATAGGTAAGTTCAGAAAGTAAAACTCTCTATTAGGAGGCCGGAAAATACAAAGTGATATACGATTTTTTGATGATTGGATATTTAGAAAATATTAGAACTCCCTGAATATTTTTAACGGGTGATCAAGCAGAGGTACTTTTTTCAATAGATTTTTTTGACAGATCATGCTTGGCGTTTCATCATGAAAATACTTTCGCCTGAACAACGCTTACAACTCGCTCAACTTGAGACGTTTTACATATTGAGACCCAGCATTAATTATTGGATAATATTAGACCGAATAGACCACGTCTAGTGAAAAAAATGTAGTGGTCGTAGCTAAGAGTGTACAAGATGACCGCGAAGAGTATATTTAGCACAATTGAAAGTTGAAAAGTTCCCGGAATTTCCGACGTATTCGAGCCAAATTTTGTTCAGCGATGAGGCCCACATCTAGCTCAATGGGTATGCAAACAAGCAAAATTTCATCATTTGACGAGGAGTTCAGGTTTTTATTGGAGTTTTAGAAGCTGTCTTTTCATCCAAAAAATCAATAGTTTAGTATGCTTTGTGGTCATCGGAATGGAATCATGGGTCCATATTTCTTCAAAAATCATACCGGTGTGAACGTAACTATCGATGGCGGCCGTTATCCCGCCATGATAACCAACTATTTGGTGCCTGAAACTCAGATAATTCCACTTTTTTGGCCGCTCGATTCGCCACCAAGATTGTTTGATATCGCACCGTTAGACTTTGTATCGCACCGTGAAACATTGTATGGTCTTCAGGTTTAAGGCCTTGGAGAAAAACATCACATATGTCCTTCGACAATTATCAGTCGAAATGCTCGAATGAGTCATCGAAATTTGGGCTCAACTGATGGACCATCTGAGACGGATCCGCGGCCAACATTTGAAAGTGATCATCTAAAAAAAAAATGCCAAAGACTGTTCTTTCGAATGATAATAAACATTCGCGTTAAATTTTAATTTGCTGAGTTTTTGGGACCTCAAAATGGATAGAAGATTTTTTTAAAAGAAGAGGTTTGCACGAAAAAGTCGAAACACTCGCTATCACTCTTGCAAAACGGCTCTAATCTAAAAACATTCTAAAAAATAAGTGCGTATTATTTTAATTTAAAGAGGAAGAGTTGAAAAAAATTACTGAAAACTAAGTACATATACACAAGGCTAACCGTTTTGCGGTTTCCAAACCAAACCCAACTAAATGCATTTACAATTTTTTACGATCTCGATGGTCAATTGATATCGCCACAAAGAAAGATTACTCTACTGGAAAATTCCTCTCGCAATAAGGCTGTAGGATTGTGTAGGGTATGACACCATCATGTTGGAACCACATATTGTTCAAGTCTGTTATTCTAATGTAGGTAAAGAAAAAGGTGGTTATCATACCGCTTCGCAGTAACAGTCTGGCCTTTTTTTTTGGGAAAAAGTAAGGTCCAATCGCAACTCCTTTCCACAGAACGCCAGACAGTAAGTAAGTTTTTTTTTTTGTAATTACCTCTCTTCAATTATTTGGTGATTCTCGGCACCAATTGGCTTATTTTCGTATCCGTCGAGTGAGAAATGTGCCTTGTCCCTGAAGAAAATTTTGTTCAAATAATCGCCCTCCACTGCTTGTTCTTGAAACACCCAACCGACATATGTACCGCGTTGTAAGTTGTTGTGTGAGCAGGATTTTATATGGATCTAAGAGTAAATCAAATCCCATTTCAAAATAAGCCATAATTTGCCTTTCGAGAAGTGGAGACAGTCGGCTCTTCGGCTCCACTTTCATTTGCATAGCGATATTTGGAACCATCAAAACGATGATGCACAGGTCATGCAAATTCATTCATAGATATCACGAAATGGAGAACCCTAAATGTACATAAGTCAAAGTCCTTGTTTGAGTTACACTCAAAAAAAAAATTTAGCAATCAGCTCAAGCTATAAAACAAATTCTTTTAAAAAGTTAATTTTATTTAACTAAACACTAAGAGGTTTTTACACTAATTAAAGCCCATTGGAACTCGACTGATCCTCTACTTAAGAAACAAGGAGAATTCGTTATGAGTATAGATTTTGCCGAAAATTTATGCAAAAAATGCAGGCCAATCAAATACTCTGTAGCCTTATGAAATTTATAATAAATGAAAATCACCCCATTTTTGTAGCTAGACTCGGCTCATTTATTGAATTCAAGAGTTATAATAACCTATTAAAAAAATATGACGATGCAATGAGAAAATTTATTACTTCTCTGATGGAGTCTGACAGAGATAAATATACATATAGGGGGCTATAGGAAAGTTTTTCAAAAAAAAAGAAAAAACATAACATTCAAACGGTTCAATACGGTCCATATAATTTAATGTTTGAAGATTATTTCATGCAAATGTTGACCGTGACTGCGCCTCAAATGGTCCATCCGCTTAGTCCAATTTTGGCATACTCTTTCCAACATTTCGGCCGGTACCTCACGAATAAATGCTTCAATGTTGTCCTCCAATGAGTCAATTGAAGTGGGCTTGCCTGTTAAATTTAACATAGCCCCACAAAAAATTGTCTAAAGGCGTTGATCCGCACGATCTAGGCGGCCAATTGACCGGTCCCGAACGTGAAATGAAATGTTCACCGAACTTCCCTCTCAATAAATACATTGTTACGCGCGCTGTGAAGCATATGGCAGCGTCTTGTTGAAACCACATGCCATGCAAGTGAAGCTCTTGCATTTGGGTAAAAAAAAAGTTTGATATCATCTCACGGTGGCGCTCGCCATCCACAGTTACGTTACGATTTGCATCATCTATGAAGAAGTACGTTCAATGATGCCACCAGCCCAAAAACCACACCAAACTGTGACTTTTTCTGGATGCATTGGTACCTCTTGCAATGCTTCTGGCTGGCTTCAAAATCGACAATTCTGCTTATTTAATCACCCATTAAGTCAAAAATGAGCTTCGCCGCTGAACACGATTGAAATGAATTGAACTTACTTAACAGAGCAATAATTTGCAAACGTTGTTCGTTTGTAAGACGATTCATGGTTAAATTATAGACCAAACTGAAGATGTTTGACGGTGATACAAAACACGAAACGTGTGTCAGCTGTCTAAATCAGTGTTGAAAAAAGGTAATCACCCTTTATTTTTATTCATCTTATGTAACATCAAGAAAATATTGGTACTCAAACTAAGTGAAATTTATTCGCAGCAGCACTTGTGGTAACGGGATCGGAGACACTGTATAAGGAAAAGCATATCTAGATAATGCACCAACAGTTGACGGTAACCACATAACTAATCCCAAAGTCATTCTTCTAAAATAGAGTTCGATTACTGAACTTTAAGAGAGCATGAAAGCATGAAGGGTTATTGAAATCACGTAAAAAATACCCGTCAGTACCATTGGTATGAAGCTTTTGGTGGTAACAAAATTATTTATAAACTATTTTATAATGAATGCATTTCTGTTCATATTGTAACATTGAGAAAAAAATTTATTTCGTTTATATTTCAAAAATATTTTCCATATTGATTGAGTGAAAACATGAAACATTATATCATATGTAACGCTGCATATTTTTCCAATTGCGCATTATAAATAAACAAATTAGCTTTTAGTGAAAATACTTTTCCTGTGAATTTATAATAATACAGCCCAATTCTTAATACTCTCGGGAAAATTCTCCCTCGAGGACTTAGAAATCCGCTAAGAAAAAAACCATCAATTCTAAATGCACAGAGAGAATGATTTTTCGAGAGTACGATTTTTTCTCTTTCGAAATCAGCTGTTTAGTATTATTGTGTATTATTGATATTATATTTGGCAACGAGTTCTTCTTCAACGTAGATAAATTCTGGACCATTCCACCGACTCTTTCATCCCTTCGGCAGGTGACAATTTACGCTATGCATTAGGGCCTCCTCCTGCCGTGTTTTCTAGCCTTTAGGTTTTGAGCCGCATGTATTTCTTTTGACCATCCTATACCTAAAAGTAAAATGCGTACTTAAAAATTTTCAGGTTGGGCGAAATCCTCGTTATTACCCGTAAAAAACCTCAGGCTATAGCCGGTTGAGTTTCCATCAAATCTACTAGCATCTACTGCGACATTAGCAGTACGCACATCTAAGACGCTGATTAAGGCATATGCTGATTAACGGATGCCCCGTCGCAAATTCCGTATTTCCAGGATGATGACATCTACCAACTTGGTCGTCGGAATCTGTCCACTAAAATGAGCGAACATTCTAGCTGCCTACCCTTAAAATTAATGATTAAAGCTTTTGGAGCAATCGTCATCAGAAGGGGGTATATCATCTGGCTCCCTTTTTAATTAAAACTGATTTCAACGTGCGGTCCCAAACCTAGCGAACCATCTCGCTGAGCGAGTAGGATTTAGACTTTATACACATTGGTGTAGCTAATAGAGTGGTTAGCAATGTGTAGCATTTGAAAGACGAGGAATCCTGGTTCGACCAACATCCAAAAATTACAGGAAATTAATTTAAATAAAAAATATATTTAAATTTATTGATCCAAAGATAACTAGAATTGCAATTGACCGCGTTCCCCCATCTCACATTTTAATATTGGCAGCAATGTCCGATTGGTGAACATTCAACAGATGATGTCCAAATCACGCCAGTACCACTATGTCAATAAAAAAATCCATTTCTTTTGTTTGACACGAATTTTTCTTCAGCAGTCAATATTCAATAAATTATTGTACTTACATTATTTAAACTTAATATAATTAAATATTTAATTGTTTCTCAACGAAATTTTTTAGTGAAATTGCGATAAAAGACGTCGTTGATTGTAATAGAATACCCAAAATATTCCTAAAAATCCGAAAAAGTGTTTCTTCTATCGCAGTGGCACTGTTTAGAAGTGTAATAAAAAAAATTAAGATTTTTGAACGCTCTGACGTAGTAAAGAGTTTCATATGTATTCATATTTGATTCTGTTTCATACATGTTATGATATAAGTATGTACGTGTATATATACAGAATGGATGGGAAAGGGAAGAGACATAAAAGAGCTCTAAACCAAAAATCAATTAAATTTTATTTTGATTTTATTTCGATTTAGTTAAAATAAATGGTAAATTGGACAAGAATTCTATATTTTACCTCATTTATGTTTACCAAAAATGACAAAAATGTAATTCAAAGCGAGTTGCTCGACAAGCGAATGGATGATGATATTGCCAACAGGAAAGTAAATTGTTTCGTTTCGGCGCCATATTTTCAAAACGAAATGAGATCGTTGAAACCACAGAAACTCTTCGTTCACGTTAATTTGAAATGGCTGCTTGCTAAGAATTAACAGCACACTTCAGTTATAACGCTAACATTATCTGTTAAAGATTTAACATTATCGACAACTTTTCGATTCGGGTAAAAGGGAAAAAAATTTATGTTAATAACTGCGTTAACGTCAATGTTTCAAAATATTTCAAACGAAACAATAGAAAATTCTTGATTAACGTGAAATTTTCGTTACGAAAACTACTTCTTCCGATAATAAGTTAGATAAAGCAACAAAAGTGTTTAATAAAATTATAAATATGGAACGACAGATTAATAATAGAAGTCTTCAAGTGGTAGTGATCTAGATTTTGATGCGAATGCGCTTGAAAATCATCCTAGCATATTTTTTTAGACCCTTGAGGGACATTATCCATTATTTATGATAATTCATAAATGCTTAAAAGCAATCCATTCCGATAGTTCAATTCTGTTCCCGTTTGTTCTATACAAATACAAAACATACTCGTATGCTGCTATTATTATTCAAGAAATATCGAACAATTATCAAAGTATTGTATATAATTTTTACAGTTTGAAATATCAAAGAAAATATACAAAGAAGTACAGAATAGCAACTCTGAATCAAAGTCAAAATAGCCGAATAATAGTAGCAGATTTTATAAAAGTAATAAAATAATGCTTAAATTTGGAGTGCACTCTAATTTAAGTCGACTATAACTCATGACTAACATCCTGGCTCCATGTTTGAAAATAAATAAATATAGCAATTTTTCAATTTAATTTAATAATACATTTTTTTTTAATTTTTAATTCGTTTTTACTTAGATCCTAAGCGAAAATACATACAACTTACTTCTAGAATCGTGATTCGCACGATCGTGGTGGCCAATCGACCGGCCCAGAACATGAAATTATCTGCTCACCGAGCTTCAATATCAGGCATCAATTAGTCGGTTATCATGGCGCGATAACGGTCGCCATTGACAATTATATTCTCACCAGCATTGATGAAATATGGACCCATGAGTACACCTGCCCACATAGCACCAGACCATTGATTTTTCCGGATGAAATGGCAGCTCTTGAAACTCTTCAGGTTCCAATTGCGGCAATTTTGTTTGTTTACATACGTATTGAGACATTTTTTTGTCTCATTGCTGAACAAAATTTGGCTTGAAGGCGTCGAATCCTTTTGGAACTTTACAAGAGCTAATAGAGCTCAGCGATATCGCCTAAGAAGGTCGAGTGGCTTCAATTCTTGCACAAGCTGTATTTTGTGCGCTTTCAATTTAAGATCTTCACGTGAAGTGCTTCAAGCCGTTCCATATGTTAGTCCGAGTTGCTGTTAACTGCACCGAATCGACTATCCTCGGTCTTCTTGCGCACTCTCAGCTATGGCCGCTATATTTTCTTCACTTCTTTCTGACCGTGGTCCAATTGGTCGAATATTATTCAATAATGAAAGTTGGATCTCAAAATTAGCTCAGTAGGCCGGTTATGATGACTATAAGTTGAGTGAGCCACATTTTTTAGAACGTGAATTTTTGTAATAAAATTGAATGGTTTGTACACGTTGTTCAGGCGTAAGTCTTTCCATGATAAAATGCCAAATAATACTGGACAAAAATAAGATGACGGCTTAACACGACTCACTCATGATCTATCAAAAAAGGCATGGTATAAAAAAATACCTCTACTAGGGTAACCCGTTGCAACTACCAGTGAAAGTTCATACATATGTACAAAGCAATGCATATGTATATAAATAAGAATCGACATAACGTTCTCGTAAATAGACTTTTTAAAAACTAAACTAAAACTAATAAATATATATTTTAACTTATATAGTTAAAATATTAGATATGTATGTATTTTACGTTAATCAAAAAATTTCCATCGATTCGGTTGAAACAAGAGGAAGCAGTTATCAAAATACATTTCTTTTCGTTAAACGTAAACATTGAAGAGTGCTGTTAATATCATAGCAAGCAGTTATTTTAAAATTAACCTTAACCAATATGCGTTTTCAACATTAACAATTTCATTATGTTTCGATAACATGCAAAAAATAATATGCAAATACAATTATAATAATTTATATAGAATTATGAATACTTAGGCTTTACTTTCTACCATTTTTTGATTTCAGTAATATGTATGGGCGAAAACGCAAGTCAGGCGGCTGGAAATGTGAATAGCGTTTATGCTCCTGATACTGTTACAGTCAATCATGCACAATTTCGGTTTCATTGCGGTAAATTTGATGTAAAAGATGCTGCACGAAGTGGAAGGCCAGTTGTCGAAAATGTCGCTAAAATCATGGACATTGCCGAGTCCGACCGTCATGTAAGCACCGATTCAATTGCCATAGATCTAAAGATTGCACCAAAACCCATTTGAAACCATTTGGATAAGGCTGGATAGGAAAAGAAAAAATTAAACAATTCAATTTTATGTAAAAATATTGAATTAATTTTTACTACACCTAATACTACCTTGCTCTGCTTATAATTTCAACAGGATCAATATCCGCCTGGACAGTATAATTTCTTTAATAATTTCAGTTTTTTTATTTTCGATATTCAAATAGTATGTGGTATCAAATAAAAGTTAGTGGTTTAGTATTTTCTTAAATGGTTTTCATCTCTTTGTTTTAATTTGTTGGCTGCCTTCGATAAATATACGATAAAAGTTAGGGAAGACAAGGATTTTTTCGAAATTCGGTAATTAATTAAAAATGAATTATTCACTTTTGGTATAATTCGCTCATTTGTTAGGCATGTATTCTGAATGCAAATTACGATTGAGAGAGCGAACAACGTAATTGACGTGCATTGGAAATGCCGTATTAGGAACGCTTAACAGCTTCGTATCATCAAGTTTAGAATTCCGGAAAATTTAACTTTGAACTTATGCAAGGCAAACAAAGTGTAAGAAGGCAGTCAGCTTGTCAGATCTTCCCCACCATATTTGAATAGCTCAACCGGTAAGCCAACAGGTCCCGGCACTTTGAAGTCTATAAGTGGACAACAACTATTCAGACATCTTCATATTCGGATATTGGAACGTAATTCCAATTACCCTCGATTGGGGTTCCAGGTTCACCATCTCCGGAGGTGACGCTTTCACTGCTGTTATGCAGTTCGATGAAGTGTTCGCTGCATACACTGACATTGGACATCGGTAATCATATTCCCTTCTGGATTCCTACATGAGTTTGCTACGACACTACCGTACGTATGGAGTCTGAAATGCCGCTCCACAGTGGCCTTAAATCAAGTTGCTGATGGGTGGTCCAAGAAACAAAGGGAAGGTGATTAGAAGCCCGGTTGGCTGTCTACTAAGGCTGCATTCCTTGCCCAGCCTCGTTAAATTGCCAAGCGCAATTTCGGCATTTGACCCACCTTCTTCCGTCGTTGTCTCGTTCATCGCACGAGCATTGTTCAAAAAGGCGTTTGTTAAGAACCTTTAATTTGGAAGAGCTCGTTTTCATTCAGCTGTTTTTTTGCCCTCCAGGCATATTTCTCAAATTATTTATAATTTAACAAATAAATAAATAAAACTTATTTATTTTGTTGCGCGCTGTCTTCAAGTTCGATGTGAATACTCCTATTTTTACTTAACCAACTGGCAAATGTAATTTGACATAGTCGAAAAAACCAGTGCTTTTATAAAAACAATGTGAACTGTACGCTAGAATACCAAATTCAATTCCGGGTGTTAAATGTAAAATATCTTGCTTTTCAAAATTGGCCGCCTGATCGAGTCTCAAACTTTTAGCACGAACTGTAACAGCCATTACTGTAAAATCATAAACAAAATAGTCCAAAAGTTATGATCTCCACACTTTTATTTGAAATGATGTACTTTTACATACAATGAAACTTGTAATTCGATGAAACGCATTAGAACCAATCAAAACATGAACATAAAAATTTTCCTTTCCTTTCTGCTTAAAATTTTTTATTTATTTCACCATAATTTTATGAGGTATGTTACTACATAGGTCATATATAGTTCATAAATTTAAGGGAAGATAGTAATAGTTTTCCCATGGTTATATACTAAGTATGAAACTTTGAGTTATTTACTTGTATTTGTATGAACAAAATTTAAAACAAATTAGCTAAAACACGTTAACCGAATAACATTAAAATTGTCCATATTATTGAAATATTCCAGACAAAGCAAAAGTTTTAATTTTACCCTTAAATAACATTATTGTGGTATGCGTCGTGATGTTTTTCCAACAACTCTATACTAGATGTGTCACAATAAAAAACTAAAATTGTACCCTTAATTTTTTATTGAAAAATATTAATTTTTACATTTATTTAGAACATCCAAACAATATTAGAGTATGACGGGAGTTACTAGGATAAAAAATAATAATAAATTGACACGTGTTAAAGTCAGAAACCCCACAGTGAATAAATATATGTATGTATTAAGAGCTAGAACATAAATTAACCTCCATAAACATATACATTCGCAAGTGTTCCGTAACTACATAATTTGTTTTATTGACGTATCGATTTTTAAAGTTGAAGCACCGAACGAAGCATTTATCTATTAATTTCGTATTATATACAAATTCACATACATATATATTCATATGTTTGTGTATATTATTTCATGAAATATTGAATGCAAAGCATTGTTTTAAATTTACCAGGATAAAAATGTATTATTAAAAATGTAAATAAACTTCTTGCAATGGTGTATGTCTTCGTCATTTGTATTAGTTCATTCAACTTTGTCTCTGTAATCGATATTTTATATCATTACCGCTATCCGGTTCGGAGTTAAATAAAATGTCTTCCTAAAACTATGTTTTCCATATTTACAAAACACAAAGAAAACTATGAATACACAAAATCTATAATAAAAAGATATATATTTTTTCTGAAACTTTAAACCCTCAGCTAACGAATGACAATTTTTTTTATTATAATAGCTGATCTATGTCCTCAAGAAACAACTAACAGTTCATATAAAAATGCTTTAAAAATACTTATGAAAATTTTTGAACCGCTCTCTTACACAAACTTTTAGTCTCCTTGAAATCTGCTTATATAAAGAACTTGTTGTGCTTTCTCGACTATTTTAATATTGATGTCATATTTGAAGTAAAATGTTTGCAATAAAAGGTAAAAGACAACATACTCGTATTATAAACATAATGGCGCGCGAATATTATAAATTACTAATGCCAAACAACTTTGAAAATAAGCAATTCTTAATCGAAAAGGCTACAGAAAAGATTATATATTTTCTGGTCATAAAATAAATTTTTCTTGTACACCAGCTAAAGCCACTGTGCCGAAACTATATAGGCAATGTTCTTATCGGCTTACTGGTTCTAAAAATATACATTTAACTGTATCATCTTTTAAAAAGTACTAAAAATGTATTTCATGCAAATATAAATCAATATTTGCTACTAAAATAACTTTTTATTTTCCTGTTCAGAGCTTTGCCGCCTCACACTTGATTTCGCAAACACTTTTTATCATAAGTTGGTATGTGTTTAGTTAATTTGCTGTTTTGCCTCAGTAATAAGTTGCAAAAGTGAGTCAAGATTTAGATCTTCAAAGCGTGCGAAATGATCCATCATCGGTTGAATTGAGTCTGATTCAATCTCGGCGCAAATTGTTTGATTTTGTATGGTTCGATTTAAAGACATCGAAACACGATCCAAAAAATTACGCCATTTCCCTTTATTTGCGTCGGTGTGCGTGTCGTCATGACCTCCTCTGTATATATTCTCAGCTTGAAGCACCAAGCAAACCAGCGAGGAAATCCCAAACTGTAAATTATAATAAAATAATTAGATTAAATTTACCATTTTTAACATTGTGCTTTGCAAATCAAGTCTTAATATTACGAGTGTAGTAGGCAACACCGTATTAATACAAGCCCCCTTTGTGACTGTATCAACATGATACAAGTATACACCCGTAACGTTTATATGTCCACGATTGAGCTTAATAAATTTTTATATATTTACAAATATTTATATTTGAAGATTTTTTCTTCGATGCTTGCAAGTGAATTTAATATGGTGAAGTTACAATGGCATCGAATTCAACTTTTTTCATCACCAAAATTATTTTAGTGTTTTTTGAATTTCATTTGATTTCCTATTAGTAAACATAAAAAGTCGCTTTGGGTGCTTGATACACAGAAAAGCCGCACAAACAGGAAGGAATCCTATTTTTGGATATGAAGTAATTTATTATCTCATAATTTATTATTTAGTTCATAAATAGTATATGAGTTGAGTTGAGTTGATGCGGCTGTTGGTCAAACCCCAGCACACTCAGGCCAATAGACGCATTGTGATACCGCTGAGGCACCTGCCTTCACCTTCTCAAATGATAGAACCAGTGGCAGAGGTAGTGCTCGATGGTCTCCTCCTCTTCTTTTCCGTACAGCCGCGCAAAAATCTTTAGATTAAACCTGAACGGTCGAGAAGGATAAGATGCTTGAATTTTTCGCTTCAAACTTCGGCCATAGCTGTCTGGTCACGTTACACGTGATCTCGTTCAACCATCGTGAGTCAGCTTCACTGATGAAAGCCAGTTTATGCATATACTTAGCCGTGGACAGAGGTAATCCCGCATCATGTGCGTGTTTTATCATAGATAGAAGGGTTACTTCCCTTGCAAGTACGTCTGCCATGCAATTCATTTAAATGTCCCTGTGTCCAGGTACCCAGACCACGGCAGTACTGTACTTCGTTGAGAGTTTGTTGAGAGTGTTTCTACAGTTTATGGCCACTTTCGACGTGGTACCTTTACATTGAAGAGATCTTATTTCAGCCTGACTATCGCTGCTGCAGTAGATTTGTGCAACCATTCCGCGGCCTCTAAGATTGCGAAGAATTTCGCCTGGAAAATTCTGCAATGATCTCATACCGGCACGGGATAGTAAATTCGTATATATAGTATGTAACAGTATTTTTTTTTATTAAAAAAGAAACCCTCAAACAATAAGATTTTTTTCGCTTAAAATACCGCTCACATTTTTCGGAATTTTCGGAGAGATTTAGATCTGATCTCAGAAATTAAATCGTTAAAAAGGAAGTTATTCGAGTTTTGGATGAAAAATATCGCTCAAAAAATAATAAATATTGTTATTGCTTAAGGGTTAAAGTAAAAATAACCAACAAACCATATTTTTATTTTTTATAATTTATAATGGTACTTGGTTCTTGGCAAAATATAACTAATGCTCATTTGAAAATGTCAGACAATTCCTCAAGTAATCAGAATTAAAGCCATAATTAATTATACAATTTATTTATTGACTACTAATTAAGATCAGAACGATGAGCCATACTCGTAGGCAAGCTTGCATATCAGTTTTTTTATATATTTATAAAATTTTGTATACAACCGAACGTTTAAATATGTGTTTGTGCAATTATAATCATAATGAAACTTTTGAGAATATGAAATTAAATATTCCACTACATATTTAGCTTTTTTATCAATTTTTTATCCAATGTATTCTATCTTTGGTTTCATGAGTTGGCTCTAAGTATAAAAAACTTAGGACAAGAACTTTTACAATGAAAATCTCAAAACTTCGCTTCTGCCCAAAAGTGCTTCATGAGTGTATGCACTTACTTGCTCTACTTTTTTCTGAACAGCTGCAAAAGATTTATAGCCATATTTTAAGCTATTTATAAAAATTCAAATCTTTTAGTTTCATATTAAAACCTCTGTCATTCTAAGAGTAGATATTAACGTTTCAATTCACGGTGTTTGGCTCAGAAGTGGAAACAGTGATTGGACTAAACTATCACCAGTACAGTACGTCGCTTTTTTAATTAGAACATGGAGCAAATAGAAATTATACATGAGACGAAGAGAAAACTCATGGATTTTGGATTAAGATATTGATGAAATTCTGGCCAAAACTTTAACCAATCCATTACCAGAATCAGCTGATATAACTCCGAGCGGCTTTTCCCCCTTTCCAAACTTTAAATTACTACTTCGTTGCACCCGTTTGCAGCCGAAAGAAAATGAATTAAATGGGAGAACTGAAGCTGATTGATTCTGGGAACAACTTTCCTCTTGACCGCATTTTGATTTTCAGTAATCGAATTGTGTGTTACGCAAGTTAATAAACTTTCGTTATATAACATATTTACAGGCCTATTCTCACTGCTACCGGTAAAGTAAATTTTGTTACTTTTTTTAACACCCGAATTGAGAGTTGAGTTTTGGCAGCACTACATTTTTCGTCTTTGTCAAATTACATTTTCTATGTGATGAAATAAAACAGATGATTAGAAATGGAAGACGATGCACAGCAAAATAAATAGATTTTATTTATATGTTTATTAAATCATAAATATTTGAACCTAATTTTGGAAAATATGCCTAAGCGACAAAAAAAAACTTGAATGAAAGCTCTCTTCCAAATTAAAAGGGTCATTGGTTTCTCGCAATCTCCTTAGCATGCGCCTTTTTCCACTTTTATCTTTATCTTCAATGAATTCCAGGCCTAAAATATGCCTACCCATTTTAGTTTTTATTTTTTCTCAAATTAACAACACAAAATCAAACAGCAGATATTTTGTTACCTCCTATTTCGCTGGTAACAAAATTTACGGGGTGACAGTGAGCTCAGAATACGAAATAGTAACAAAATTTACTAAATATTAAGTTTTAATACCAAAGTAAATTTTGTTACCTCGACAGAATAGGCCTGTAAGTATTTTTTTGAAAGAAATTTTTGACCCTCACAATAATATTTTATCAATCCCTTGGTATACAGCGATGTATTAAAGCCAGGTTCTTCTAAAAAAAAAACTTTCAAAAAATCGAATTTCTTTATCCTGTAAATTGATAAACGTCAAAAAGATCAAGAATAAAGTATAGAAGAAGGGAAGGCGGAGCGCGCCAAGCGGCAAATCAGCCCGCTCGAGTATTTTTAGTACAAAATGTTATAAAAGTGTGAAAAATGTAAATAAAATGTTTTTGTTCCAACATATATTGGAAAATTTTATATTTTATTTAATATGTTGCCGTGTTATGAAAAGCAACATATGAATTATTTATGTTATCAAAGTTCAATAGAAGATTTTAAGCGAAATGGACTTAGCGAAAAAATAAGCTTTGTTTGCATTTGAAAATTCTCAAAACTATATGCATATTTGTAATAAAGTGAAAAAATGGTATTAAACATTCATACATTATTCATTGTTATATCGTATATACATTCATATACAATGGTGGAATTCATTCTTAAACTTCCCTATCATCATCGTAAAATTTTTTGCATCCTTGTTTTATTATATGATCATATAATCGAAATGTCAAAGACTAAATACGCTCACGATCTTCTTGTATTTCGTTTGTGTAATCGTGCAATCGTGTGCGTAAATTCGCTGCTTATATATAATATTTTGTTTGCGTAGATTAGTGAAATGGAAGGAAGAACATGTCATTATATTACAGGATCTGATGGATCAACATTTGAAAAAAAGAGATGTTTCTCAAAGAATGATAGAAAGTTAAAAAAATAGCTTTAATCAGAAATTTTTTTTTACTTCCCATAGCAAACAATAAAATGTCATTGTACATACCTTACTACAAAATATTACGTTAGATTTCTTTTCGTTAAGCGGTATTGAGGATGAAATTTTTATAATCGTCGTAAAGTTAGCTTCGCGAACATGTTTTTTGAACTCAGGATAAAGAGCATATAAAGTTCCATCAAGATCTTCTCTGTCTTTTTTGACAACATTTTGTAAAGAAGAAAAAACTCCCATCCAGATATTCCAACGTGCTTCATGGTCTTCTATATATGGCATAATGCGACGAATCAATGCCTAAATAAAAATAAGAAGAAAACAGATGTTATATGTATACTTTTTTTATTTTATTGATTAGCCAATAATTGTACATTAAAAAAAGTTGTACTGTTGTAGAGTGGAGACTTCTTTAAAAAAAAAAAAAAAAAAAAAATAACAAAACAAAAAAAGCAAATAACGACTAATTGCCATTGAAAAAAGTATCTCTACTTGGATCACCCGTAATATATACAACATATCTTTATGTACATATATTATATTATGTATATATTATTGTATGCACATATGTACAGTGAAACGCTGATTGAACTGATTGAATCCGTTTTGTATTTTCATTTGGTTAATTCTCTTAGTACATCTACCAATAATCTATAACCTTTTAGGTCAGATTAAAACTTTTTTCTTCTGTCTTCTTCTGACTCTATATTTTGACTTATATTCAGTGTTGCTTTAAATATATATGTATATGATTATTCGAAATATTTTCATATGACGGCATATTATATTTGGATAAAAAGCGTGAACAATATTATACTTGAGGGTTATATGGGAGAAATTACGAAATGTGGCAAATAACATATAGAAAATAGCTTGTGATGAAAATTATGAAGTGGCGTGTTCCATCCTTCTTTAATTATTGTTATATAGCTTTTTATTTCTTGTTGGAAACTTATATTTTCGAAGATGTAGGAGGACAAAAGGGAAATAGTCTAAAATCTGAAAAGTTATATATCAAAATGCTATAGCGAATTATAAAAATTTGGGTTTGTTGAAAAGGTAAGTAAAATCATTTTGTTTTCATATCCATTTACAAAAAAAAAAAATTTCCGCAAACAATTTTGAATTGGTTCACAATTTTTGGGAACTAATTTATAAAAAAAAAAAAAAAATAAGTCAACTAATCAAGTGTGTAAGTAAAACACGCAAACTAAAATATAATAATTAAATATCTTACCTTTCCTTTACGAACATTCATTATGGCAGGAACTTCCTCGTGTGAAAGTCCTGCAATAAGTTTAGCAAGAAGTACTTCTTTCTTTTCAATCTCATACGTAAATTTATTTTTTAACGCTGGATTCGCTGCAGATGAGCCGCTTATTTCTGACATTCGCTCTTCTTGAGTTTTGTTCGCGTTTTCTAATAGCTCTAAGGCTGCGATACGCTCATTCTCTTTCTTCTTTTTCATTATAATAGTTGCAATTGCAATAGGATTATTCAAGTCCTCTAATTTTAGGACAATGCGGAAGAGTGTCTCGATGTGTAACAGAATATGGCGCGACTTGCGATGAGCAGAGGATGCGATGTCGTTAATAGCACCAGATTGAGAGCTAACTGACATATTAGATTTCACGTAGGCAGATTTATTACCACTGGGGCTGTCCGTATATTTTACACCCTCACCAACTCCACCGACATTTACCTCGCTACCCATAATGTCAGCATCTATTATTTTCCGTGGTGCCGTCACGCTTCCATATTGCAGTTTGCCAAGCGAATTCTCAAATTTTAATGGAGTGAAAACGTAAGGAGTTTTCTGATCTTGATTATTACCTATATTTCCACAATTATTGCTAGCCGCTACTGTGCTTTCCGAGTTGCGACGTTCGCGAAGCTGACCATTTCGCGTCCCATTTTTATTGCCCAGCTGAACTAAAATAAGTTGAGCATGACCCTTTGGTTGAGTTAGCGGATGGTTTAGTTGGTTATCTTTGTGGGCCTGACTGTGACGTACATTACCATTTTTAACTGCTTTTTTTTCGCGATACACGGTATAGTAAAAATCATCAATATAAGGAGTGTCCGTATTTAACTGTGAGAGCTGAATACCGATCAACCAATGTTTATCACGTGTACTCATAAGATTAGCATATTGATCGAAATCTTCCGGTGGTAAATTTCCATTCGCAGATCCACCTTCACGCCGCTGATGTATTGTTTTATTTCCACTGATATTCGCTCTTTGTTGAGCAAGATTTTGGTGTTGATTTATTCCAATTGGTTGCTGAACGTGTGGTATTTGACGGGCAGCATTTTGCAAAAGCGGATGATTTTGTTGTATTTCCTGTACCAAACGCATATTGAACATGTTATACATGGAATTTGAGTGTTGTGTGTTTAGTAAAACAGCTGAGTTGGGTGGATGCGGAACAATACGCGGCTGTTGTTGCTGTTGTACTAAAGAAGCAGGATGTATACCAGTAACTGCTGCAGCGGCTCGCATAGCGTTGAAATTGGGATGCATTGCAAAATTATTCAAAGCTATTGGGAGATGTGTACTTGGCAGTGAACGGTGAAAGTTCGATGGCAGCCCATGCTGGTTTAATAATGGATGTTGGAGTTGGTTGTTTTGCTGTTGCAAATGCGGACCCATTGCATTAGGATATACGGGGTATCCTGAACCTAAGCCGCTGCCAACATTTATTGTTTGATGTTGAAGCAATGGGTGTTGCGCCATATTATTTGTGAAGTTACTGTTTGGCCTAACTTGGTTATTCAGAAATCCGGGTGGACCTAATAAAAAAATTACATTAAGTAAATACTGCTTGATAAATGCGAGCTATACCTTTCATTTGCGAAGGATGTGGCTTTTGTAAATTATGTTGATGATGCGCAGTTTGCTGAGGATTCAAAAAATGTGGGGGCGGGGTGTTTGGTTGCCTCTGAGGTTCTTTAAATTGTTGAATATGCTGCCTTTGGGTATGATGTAAATGTCGAGAGTCATTAGCTGGTGATTGAAGTTCTTGCTGTTTTCGCATGGTCTGTTCAATAATAATATTTCTTTCAATATCTTCCAGGGTACAAAATTTAGGAGCAGCTGGAGTTCCATAAGAATCAATTCGTTTAACCATTTCTCCACGGGTATTTAGATACTGTGGAATGTACCCCCCTAAAATTTGATGAAAGCAATAAATTTAATTAATTGCTAAAGAGTTAGTTAACTAGTATTAATATAATATGTACCTTTTGATGCAGAGGCCTCTCCAAATTCGAAAACAGAATCTGTGTCACATCTCTGATTTTCGTTATTTTCATTCATAGCAGAAGTTTTAAAAGAATTTGAAGCCCAAACACTTGGATCCAATCTTAAGCCACCGACTCCACTTAAACTTTCGTTATCGTCGAAACTTAAATCAACATCGTCCAGTTTCATTCCTGACAGATTCAACTCTAAATCAGAATCTGTAAATTTCTCTATATAGCGTGCATGTGGTCCTTTTGCTGAAGGTAATGACTGAGAATTTACATTTTTAATTTTTCGTTCTTTCGGCTCCGGAGTGTTTTCGCACACACTTTCGGGCACAAAACAGTCTGTAAGTTTAACCATTGATTCATGCGCTTCTTCCCAGTCTCCATTAGTGGCCGACCCAAAAGTTTCATCGTTGAGAGCATCATATTCTTCTTCGGAAGGCTCAGCAATTTGTCCGCCAGCCCCGTCCTCTTCAAACTTAACAAATATCATATTAATTAATTTTAAGATAGTATGAAAAATATATATATTGTAATGATATAATTTGCATCCAAAACATTATTAAAAAATAACTTTGTAATTGCAACAAAAGTGCAGGGCATGGACACCATTAAAATAAAAATTACTCAATCTTTTTTGGTATCTGCATGTAAATACATTGACAATTTTCTAAAGCAAAGAATAAACATAAAAATTATAAACATCCTTACCGGCACAGATGTGTCGAAACCAAAAAACGAATCGTCCATCGAGAAAACTTGTTTATTCCACAAGAAATTGTCATTTGTCACACATTCTCTACCGCCATTGACTACCCAACACGGTTGCCAGCTTCTTCGTTTAAAAAGTTAAAGTTTTTTATTATTTAAGAAAAAATATATTCCTACTTTTTTTAATTTCTCCTTAACGATGTTAGTAGTAAAGTGTATTTTCTTTTAATAATACAAAAAAAAACCTTATTAAATAAAAGAATATAACTTCTGGCATTACCAACATCTCGCCATGATTCCAAAGGAAATGTTCGGAACCTGATTATAATGCCGAGATATACTAAGTGTTTTACATCTCGCTAAGTAATTTCAAAATTTTTAAGATTCTTCATTAGACTATCACAAATTCTAAAGAATTACTCTAAATCGAATCGTGGTAATTTTATTAAAAAGGAAATGGGTAATAACCAATACTAGTTCAAATAACTAGATATTTTAAGCAACATTTTGCAAAGAAATTGGGTAACAGCACAACAATATATAAATGCTTTTTTCCTATTTTTCTATATTTCGTGAGATTATACGTCCTTTTTGTACTCACTAATTCTACATCACAAGGAATACATAAAATCGTCTTCTAATTCCCATTGTTGCTGACACAGGGCTCATCTATGCTATTAAGAAAAAATAATAATTTTTGTAAATAAAATACTACTTTTTAAAATTTTAGCCTTAATACTTTCCTCATTTTCTATATTTTTACATATATCTAATATGAACATAGCACATTAATTATATAAAAAACATAAACATAATGCATAATTTGCATATATCAACCAACTCAAACTCTCTAACTGTAAAGTTCCGAAAATCTTAAATATTGTTACGA